CACAGCTTCTCTCTCTCCTCTTCCAGCAGGAAACGGGCTCTTCCTGCTGCATGCAACACCTTGGCTCAAAAGCGCTAGGTTACACTTCATCTTTGTTTAAGGGGTGCCTAGCTTTGACTGACAAAAAAAGGGGAAACGAAGGGAGGGAGGCTTTTGTTTTGAAGGCTCAAGCAAAAAAGGTGGTATTGCCATTAAAAATTTTTTTAAAAAGATGGGGCTTTTCCAAACTCGTTGCCTGCTATCCTTGTGGACATAGAAGGAAGATGTGCACTGGTGTCTTAGCAAATGATTTCAGGAGCATCTCTTGGGGAGGAGGCAGGGAGGAAACTGGTTGCTTCTTATAAAGAAGAGAGAGGGATGAGGATTAATTTTCCTCCAAACATCCACAGAATTGGGAGGGTTTGTTCATTGCTGTGCGTGTTGCCTGTGTGTGAAAAGGGAACCTTGAATCTTGGCTGGGTGGAAAAGCTTCCTATGAGCTAAAGGAAACAGGGAAGAGTGTGCAGTAGCACCAGTTGGAGCAGTGTAAGAAGACACTTTATGCTTCCATCCCATTCCCATTGTTAGTTTAGCTGCATGCAGCTTCCTAAAGGGGAGTGGATTAAGGCAACTTGGGAACAGCACTTACCCAGGATGCCAAGATTTCCTTGGGAGTGTGGGCGTACACTGCCCCTGAGCAAGAGGGGGGCGCTATTGTTATCACTATGATAAATCACTGTTAAAAAGAGAACAGCAGGTGCAGGTGAATAGAGGAGGGTTTGTTGCACTAAACCTGGATTGCCTCCATTTTGGGGTGGGAAGATGGATGGAAGAGGGTGACAACACACTCAGGGAGAGGAGATCAAAATGGTAGTTGCTGTATCAAATGATAATGGAACAACAGGATTGTTTTGTGTTGCTGCTCCTTCCTTGCTTTTCTTTCCATGATACAATTCTCAAAATAAGCCACCATCCACTTAACATCTCTTTATTCTTGCATACCCAGGAAGTCCACAGGGCTTCACTGCTAGTACTGCAGTTTAATTATCTTGTAGATTGCCTGGTTAAGCTGCCAGACATTACCATCATGAGTCAAAAAGGATCTTACGTGAAAGCCTCTAGGCAGCATCATTTAGTTACAGCTCTCAAACCAATGATTCTGGAATCCTCCCCTAAAATCAGTGGAATTACTTCCATCACATCTACTGCAGGTGGAGATGGTTGTAAGATTGCATTTCTGGGCTCAGAAGGATGGGATTGTATCAGGATCCTTGTTTTGTACCAAAAGTTGTCCCAGAGCCATCATAATATAGGAATTAGGTATCTGATAGTGTCACTCAAGTCCTAGCTTTGTAGGACTTGGGAAATATTAACTACTTGGTGCCACTGTGCAGTAAGTCATGAAGAATATTCATCTGAGGCTTTTCATCTGCAGCTTCTTCCACCTTCTGCCCTTCATTGTGTAGGAGAAAGCTCAAGTGAACTATGCTAATTACATGTTATCTTTGACTTCAAAACTTGTCTTCCTATGCCTCTTTCAACATTTGAAGATGGTGCAAAGTTATAGATTAACATCCTGAAGAACATACTTTGCATATGGAAAATGATGCGCTATGCTCTTTAAGACTTGCCATCTTTCCGAGTGAGTAGTAAGGATGGAAGAGGAGGGAGAGAGATTTATATCTGCTTTTAGGTGTAGGATTTACTTTGACTATCAGGGTCATTGAAAGAAAAGTGAAATGAAGGAGTACACTGAATATTGCCAATATCTTAATGACTTAATAGGTAATGTTATATATCTTCATTGGACATATTGTTTTTGGTAATTATAGGTATGCTGGGACAATGCTTCAGTGCATTATATCAATATCAGTGTCAGTGCATCAATAGGCAGCTGCAAATAAGAGAGTGGGAGGGAAGATCTTTACCTGAAATAGCATCCTATGGTCCTAATTACCTAAAAATGTGGTACTGGCACTTATGATTTATTTATTTATAATTCCCAGATATGGGCATGAATTTTGTAGCACACATTCCTTAAAGGGCTTTCACTTAATAAATAATACCAGTTGGTGATACACTTAATAAATAGTTGAAAGATTTCCATAATAAAAAATATAGAGATAAATGGTTTACTAACACATTTCTGATACACACTGTGTGTGTGTGTGTGTGTGTATATATATATATATATATATATATATATATGAGAGAATACATTTTAATTAATATTCAGTATCATTGGTAATATTTAAAATAGAATCAGGATTTGGGAAACAATGTGATAATCTGATGGAATATTAATCGTAAATGACATGTTTAAATAATCAATATTATATCATTAGTTTTATGGCTAATGATTTAGCTGTATAAATATCTGTGATATCTGGATAATATATCTAGTAATAAAGTTATATGCGGGTGTGGAATAGCAAATGTAGTAATTTTGTCACAACAGATTGCTGGAATCCTTGAGCCATAATAAATTCTTCAACAGGTAGACAAGTTGAATTCATTTCCAGAGCTAGAGTCTCTGAAGTTAAATTAGAAGAACAATTCACAGCTTCTCTCTCTCCTCTTCCAGCAGGAAAAATAACTAGGTAAATGTTGACAGGCCTTTTAAAAAATTAACATTGTGTTTCTTCTCCACCCCTTTTTATTAGTGGCGGCACCTGACTTGTTGGATCCCAAATCTGCCACTCAGAACTCCAAGCCACGGCTGTCATTTTCTACCAAACCCACTGTACTTGCTTCACGGGAGGAAAGTGATACAACTATTAATGTTATGAAATGGAAGACGGTGTCAACCATTTTTCTAGTGGTGGTTTTGTATTTAATTATTGGAGCTACTGTATTCAAAGCCCTGGAGCAACCACACGAAACCAGCCAGAGAACAACTATTGTGATCCAGAAGCAAATGTTTGTGTCACAGCATGCCTGTGTGAATGACACAGAACTTGAAGATCTAATTCAGGTAATTCCCTATACAGAAATGTGTTCTTCCCATAGATTTAAGTGAAGCAGTATTGATGTTGCTGTTCTAGCTACAATGTGATAGTGCTGATATTTGGCACAAATAATTTATGTTGTCATGTGTAAAAAGCATTGCTAATCCCAATTTGGATACTAGGCTTGCATTCAACCTAATCTTTTCATTGAATGCTACTCTCGTGTTTTCTGAATTATTCATTGGCAGATGCAATCCAGTGTGCTTCTTTTATATTGGGTCAGTTGCAAACTGATTTACCTGGCAAACGAGGGAAAAGATTATTTCTGGACAAAAGTGGGGTACTGGTTTTAACATCTTGCTTTTTACTTCGATGTTTATAATCTTTCTTTCTTTACTTTTTCTCTGTCACTTAGAATACCACTATTACATGGAAAACAGTGCTGAATCATTATAGTAAAAGTCCCATATGTGTCATTTTCAAATACTCTTGCAAAGTTTACATTGGTCAAAGGAATGTTCTTTACTGTTAAAATGGTTTAATCCTTTTAGAGTACGTGTATTCACAATGTGATATTTCTGTTAGATTCACCTTATGATATCTCCATCGAAAAGATAAAGTGATATTGCCAAAGGTAAAGTACCATGTTTCCTCTAAATGGGTTGGTGGGATACAAAAGGCTTCAGGGGCAAGAGAAGAAGAAAGATTTGTTGTGGAAACTTGTTTTATGCTCACACATTGTTGTTGGATTCATCTCCGAAACTTACATGTTTCTTGTTTTTAGAAATTTGCCCTCTATTTCTACCAACCTCTCATCTTTTCCAATCACTTAATTCTGCTTGAAAATATACTGTGTTGAGGACAGGAGCTGAGTTGTTCATCCATAGTAGTAACAGTTTTGCTTCAGCGATGATGCTTCCCTGTATGATTGAACACATAAACAGTATTTCAGAACTTTTTCAGAAAGATTCTTTGTTCCTGGTGCACTTATGCACCATTTATGAAGTATGCTTCAACAAAATGGGAAATAGCTATTTCTAAATGGGGAATAATTAGCTGAAACAATCATACCAGTTCGAAAAAGTTGCTGAATTTTATTTGTAACATATATTATCAAGGGAAAAATAGCTTGGTTGAAACATCTATCTGTGATGAATCCAGGTTTCCCTTCCCTTCTTACTTCTCTAAACAAAAAATATGTCCAGACATTCTCAAATTAAAGCCACATCAATCCACATTCCAGAATGGCTTTTTTTGATAACTTCACCTTGTGCATGGGTCCTAGAGGTGGCTGCTGAAGAGAGAGATTCAAACTAACCAGTAATGATACTGGAAGACCTGATCAGGATTCTTATAGGAAGTTCCTGTTTAGCAGAGTGCTGAGTCATAAGAAAACCTGCCTGGGAAGCCATTTCATGGGGTTTTTACTGCAGGAATGTCTCTTGTTTAGAGAATGGTCTAGATATGGGGAAGAGAAGACTGGATCTATCAAAGTATCTGCTACCAGTATGCTGTGCTAGCATAGTTCTAGCAAAAGGTAAAAACTGGGAAATAAACATTTGTCAAATTAAAAGTTGAAGTATGTAGAAAGAACACAAAGGACTTCATTTCTTGTTGGGTCTTCAATGCTAGATAATTACCAAAGCTACAGGCTGCCTTCCCAGCTTTTAGTTTTCAGTGTGAAGCGAGGGAAAGGGTCAAGCCATTTATATATGCAGCTGTGGCAACAGGTCTTTGAGGTCTTGGGCTGATCTGGATTACCTGCTTGGCCCAGCACAAATACAGGCCATTGACTATTTCTCAAGGGCAGAAATGTACAACACCAAACAAGTGGTGCCATAGAAGTGCTGTCCGGGCTTGAAGACCTGCTGATTCCAAAGAGATGCTATTATTGGTTCTAAATGGAATTGCATGCCCCTTAGCAGAATTTGTTCACAGTTGGGAAACATCTTGAACTCATAGCTCCTGCTTGAGGAACAAGTGCCAGTTGTGGCCAAAAGGGCCTTTCAACAGCTCCATTGTATGCATCAATTGTGACCTATCCTAGAACAGAAGGCATTACTGTCACTCATACCTTAGTCATCTTGCAAATGGAGCATTTCAACACACTGTACATGGGGCTGCCCTTGAAGACCAGCTACACCTGGTCTAGAGAGTGATGGCTCATCCTGCAGAGTTGGCATGCTCTGGGTTCCTTCAATTAAACCATGCCATCTATTGGGACCTTGGAAGCATGCCTTCTCTGTAGCAGCACTTGCCCTCTGGAACAAGGTCCCCCTGAGACCTGGATGGCTCTCAGTCTGCTGTGTTTGGAAGAGCCGTGAAGACCTGGCTCTCCACCCTTTGGCAAAGGAGAGTAAGACCCCTCACTTCATCATGCATACCATCTTTATCTTTTATTGATTTTATTGTTTCTTTGATTGTTGTGAGCCACCCAGAGTTGTTGAAAGTTGGGCAACATGCAAGTTTAATGAATTATTATTTTTAATATAAACCTCGAGATTGTCATCTACAAGGGCTTTTCATTATTGCCCCTTCGTCTGAAATAATATATCCCCAGATGTTCAAAAGGTACTTCCCTCTTGACATTTGGAAAGTCTGAAAAGTTTTGATTGTTCCATTAAGATTTGGGGGCAGGGTTGTTGTGACTATTCCTTTGCACAATAAACGATTCTATGGTTCTGAATGGTTGGACTTCCATTTTACATATAGTTATAGTGTGATTTATGTTTTTTGAGTTTGGATTTTGATTATGTTGCTGATTACATTATATTTATCTTGTCTATTTATTTTCCCAAGTTCTGAGTTGGGGGAATTTACACTGTTTAGAGTTGGTGTGATTAGAATTAAGAGTCTTGTAAAATAAATGGATGGATGGATGGATGGATGGATGGATGGATGGATGGATGGATGGATGAATGAGTGTATGTTATCCCCTACCTGCCCCCAGCTCTCCAGGAAGGCAGTGTCCACCTGTCTGGTTCACACAGTGCTATCCAGTTCACCTGCTACACTTCATTTCATTGTAGGCAAATGACTCTACTCCAACTGATTACTGTGCTCTGTGGCAGGAATGCCTCTTCCCCTCCAGCCACTGGTTGCTATCCTCATGGCCATTTTTAAAATAATGATAAAAAGCTGTTGTTTCTTTACAAGTTCCCTGATGAAACAATTAAGAGGGGACCTGTCTGGTAAATTGAATGGCAGGTCATCACTGTGGCCAAAATGGAGGAAAATACTGAAATCCAGAAAGGGATATTTTATTTCCAGATAATTTTCTCATGGAAGTCCAGCAGTTTAAGGCCGTGGTGCAGAAAAGCCCTCTGATGAGAGTCTGCAAAGTGGCTGAGCTATTATTATTAAGAAACCCACAACTAGGAATAGAAGAGTTATAAAAGTGATTAAATAGATGTGCTTAGCTTAAGATCTTAGACAGCAACTTTCCAAGGCACTTTATCACCACAACCATTGACATGAAAGCTAGTAATTAATTAGTATGATGAGACTCCTATCAGGCACCAGTATTCTGGGATAAAGGAAGTGTCGGTCATGTCACAGAGATACCACAAGTATCCAGTTGATCTGCCTTGGAACTGGGATGCCTCAAGCCTGGGTTATATTTTTTCCCCAATATTCTGAGTTGGCTAATTTAAAGGAATGCTTGTAGATAACCTGGCAATAAAATAGGCATTTTTATGTAATGCGATTGTCTTTAATGGGAAAAGTTGAATTTTTATAAATTAATTAAAGAAGAAACTGCATGAAGAGTAAGACTTAATCCAGCCTCCCCAGTATGGTTGCCTTTAGATTTTTTAAATTTCTAATTCCAGAAAAACTAGAGAATCATGGGAGCCAAAGATGCATATATAGAAGACATCATACTAAAAAAGGCTTTTCTGATCCCTCTTTTAGGTTTTTACTCTTATTCTTAACAGTCACCAAAACTTACATATCCTAGGAGAAAATGGATTCTTTAGCCAAAATGTCTGGATAACAACAAAGGAAAAAGACAAAGCACAATTATAAATGTATATAAAGCTGGTATATTGGAAGTCTTCTGTAGCAAGGTGTTCTAGTTGGCAGAAGGTTATGTGACTGATCTAGATCTTTGCTGCTGCCGCAGTGTGGAGTTCAAGCAGTGGGTCAGTCAATATGAACTAGCTATCGTATGAACTGGATCAGTGACAATGCTCATATCTTATCAAAAGGACTTTTGGGGAAGTTGGCTTTTCAGGTTTAACTTTTTCTCATAAAGCAGCAGTTATTTATGAACGTAGAAATAACACAAAGAAGTTTCTAATTAGTTTTGAGTTGTGACAATGTTGGCACTCCCACAGATAAGTCTAAAGCCAGCAAACTATAAAATCTCCTGTATATGTTCTTATTTCAGATCAGGATAAGATGAAATATAAGACACTATTAATTAGAATGAATATAATTTTACTATAGCCTCTCTCTATGTTGCTGTCCATATTTCTGGACCACAATTCCCTGACAATTGTCAGGGCTATGGAAACATGCCCTGAGTGGGACTGATGGGAGTTGTAATTCAAACCATCTGGAGAATATCAGGATGGGAGTGGCTATTACATGCTGACTCAAATTAATGCAAAAAGTCTTGATTGAGGCTAACATTTTAACTCCAAAGCAGCTAGATCTGAATTAAAGTTCCTTCGTGGAAAAACTGAGTAAATGTAATCCATGGCAGTTCTTTTATTTTTAAATGTATTTCCTCTTTGAAACACAAATTTATTGATTTCATAATCATACAGATTGTTATTTATTTATTTTTACAAAGCAAAGATTTCAGACAATATTCAAACTTATGAATGGTTATTTTACGCTCTGGTAAATATCTCAAGAAATAGTGAAAGAGTGCGGGAAAATAATTTTCTGTGAACTGTTCTAGATACTTTCTCCACAGTGATTTAGCTATTCTTTTATACAAAGTGCAACAGTTCATTAGTGATCAGCAGAAAATTTCATTTGGTTCCATTTTCTATAAGATCTTATTAAAATGAATAAG